CTGAGGAGCTCCTGTTCGACCACAGCTAAGCAGTTTATATCTTGCATTTATTCCTACAGGGCGAAGCAGTGACTCTCCTTCCCCATCAGAAGCCAGGAAGAGATTAGAAACTGCATCTTGACACCCTCCCAACTACAGGAAGTTGAATGAGCAACACCCTCAGAGCAGTTCTTCATATGCCCATCTGCTCACATAATAGGAAGATGTCAGAGCTAGAGTGACTGTACATTAGGTAGGGTATTTGTGTTGTGTGTGACCAACCCAAGTTCAATTTGGCACCCATAAGGTCCTCCATGCCCACCAGGAGTGATCCCTGAGCGCAGAGTCAGGAGGAAACTCTGAGCTCCACTGGGTGTGCCCCTCCCCCTGAAGCTGTCCTGCCAGTACAAGCCTTGCTCACATCGCCCAAGTGGATGCTATATGATACGCCAGGTGTAATGGGAATGAAAATTCAACAGTCCAATGCAGAAACCCCATTCCAATTTGGCAACTGTTCTAACAATTGCTTTTTCCTTCCTCATCTAGAATAGAAGGATGACACATGGCGCTTAGTTTTAAGACCTCAAATCTACTTCAGTCTAAGGAAACTCCATGACCTTTCTCTGTTTTCCATGACCTGGACCACTTACCCCTCCTAGGCATGATGTCGCGTTGGCATCAACCTGCCCTTGATGACTCCCACACCAAGAAACCACATTCGCGATGATGGCACAAGGCTGATTTTCTAAGTAGAAGATTTCTTTTCTTCCTCACCTGCCTTTGTTTTCTTTTGGGGTCACAACCAGCAGGACTTCAGGCTTACTTCAGGCTGTGTGCTCAGGGATTATTCCTAGTGATGCTCAGGGAACCAGATACAGTGCTTGGGACCAAAGTGGGGTTGACTGTGTGCAAGTGCCTTACTCCCTATGCTATCTCTCTGTGCCCCCCATCTATCTTTTATCACTGTGATCTCAGATTCCTCTATTAGTAAAAAAGTTACAACCCTTTATTCTCATTATTTTGATGCTTAGATTGTTCCACATTTGGTCATGGGAACCCCTCATGCCGGATCATTTCATTATGTGATGGCTCAAAAGGAAGGTTGGGGCTATCTCATACAGAGAAGCTAATGAGTGAATTTGAGAAGGGACAGCCCAAGAAGAGAAAGAACAGAATGCAGAAGTCAAGAGAAATAGATTTCAAATAAGAGCAGCCAATTGTGTTAAGACTGAGAAGTTCATTAAGGACAGGCAAAGCATCTATTGACTTTCATTGTGTGGAGTCACTGGTGACGTGGGTGATGTAGGCTCAACAGAATGACGATGCTAAGGTCAGAATGCAATGAGTTGAGTGAACAGATGTGAACACATAGTGCAAAAGTTGCTTCTGTCAGTCTTGGCTGTGACTGAGAATACAGAATATCAGCCTAACCAGATTGTGGTGGGTAGGAAAGCGATGCTGCATCTTGCTCATATCACTGTTCCTTGTCATGCTCAACACTCTTAAAAACTCAACACTGAGCTAGAAGTATCTTGTTGTCTATCTAATCTATTTGATAAATGAAGGAAGTAAAGCCTAGAGGAAGGTCCATGTTCTCCAGGTGAACCTGCTTAGCCCTTCAAATCACATTATCCAGACTTCCTTATCAACCTCCTTTCATAAAAAAATAAGTACCAAACCTCCTAGTTCCTTGGTTAGTACTCATAACTATTTATTTTCTATTATAAACTACAGGATGTTGAAAAAATAGGACAGTACACTCCATAGATCCCTCACCCAGTTTTCCCCACAGGTAATCTTTTACACAAATACAGTATAACTTTAAAATCCACATACTAACAACAGTGCATACTGCTACCTTCACTACAGACCTTACTCAGTCTCACTAGTGTTTACAAAATTCATTTGTGGCTATGTTTAGGTCAATGTAGTTTTAGCACAGGCACACCACAATCAAGATACAGACTGTTCCATTAGCACATGGAAACTCCTTATATTATTCCCACTGAGTCACACATTTCACATATCCCCTTCTGTTCCTATCCAAGATCATACTAATCTATTATTCATTTTCAAAGAATGGCACAGTGTTGTATCAATGCAACTCTATGGTATTCAGTGTATGGAGATTGACTGCTTTCACTCATCATCACCTCCTTGAACCCTCCATGTTTTATGACTCAACAGTTCATTCCTTTCCACCACAGAGTGGTAGTCTATCGTATGAATGGTTGCTTTAACCATCCACTCAATGACAGACAATTGGCTTATTTCCAGTTTTTTGGTCATTACAAAGTTACTAAGAATAGTTGTGCACAAGGTTTTGTGTCAATATAAGTTTTCATTTCTCTGGGATAAATGCTCAGGAGTGTAACTGCCAGGTTAGACAGTAACTATATATTTAACTTGCTAAGAAAATTCTCAACTCTTCCAGAGTAAAATATATATATGTATATGTATATATATACATATATATATAATCCAATTTCTATACTGAAGAGCATCTGTTATTTTCACCTGTTTTCTTTAGCCATCCTGGTATTAGCCAATTCAATGTGGCTTTAATGTGCATTTTCTGATGATTTGAAGTTCTCATCTTTTCATGCACTTACTTGCCATCTTTATATCCTCTTTAATAAAATGCTTACTCATATCTTTTCCCTCTTTTCTATTGAGATTATTTTTGATATTGGCTATATATATGTATATATACATTGGTCAGATATATGCTTTGCAAATAATTTCTCTCAATCTCTAGCTTGTCTTTTTTCCCTAATAAAATTTTTGCAGAGTAAAACCTTTTAATTCTGATAAAGTCAAATATATCAACATTTTGCCTACTGGGTTGTGCTTTGGGGTACAGGCAAAGAACTTGTTGTGTAGCTCAAGATCCTGAAGATTTTCCAGGAATTTTCAGAAAGTTGTATACTTTTATATGTTACATTCAAGTCTATGATAGACTGTGAGCTAATCTGTATATAAGGTGTGAAGTTTATGTAAAGGTTCATATTTAAGCCTGTGGATGTCCAACTGCTCTAGCATCATTAATTCAAAAGTCTATCTCCTCCCCTGCATGGTTTTTGTAGCTTTGTCAAAATCAATTGAGCATATATCACACGTTCTTGATTACTGTAGCTTTAATAGCAAGTCTTGAAGTGAGATAATGGTAATCCTTCAACTTTATCTTCTTTAAATGCATGTAGCTTGTTTAAATTTACACCTGGGTCTTCTCATATTTCCTGTAGGAAAAGAAAAGAATAAAAACAGTGGCTGTGGAAAGAAACAATATTTCTATTCCATATGCCCTAAGTAGCTCTCAAACTATAACATGCTTTAGAATTATCTACAGCATTCATCAAAATATCTTAGTTCTGTCTGCAGAGATAAACTTTGACCTCCAAATGGTTCTGGTACCTAAACTACACTTTGAAACTTTAAAAACAATAATCTGGAGCTGGAGTGATAGCAAAGTGGGTAGGGTGTTTGCCTTGCACGCGGCCGACCAGGGTTCGATTCCCAGCATCCCATATGGTCCTTTGAGCACCGCCAGGAATAATTCCTGAGTACAGAGCCAGGAGTAATCTCTGTGCAACCCCGGGTGTGACCCAAAAAGAAAAATTTAAAAAAATTTATAAAAATTTAAAACAATAATCTAAGGAGTAGCAAGAAGGAAAAAAATAACCCTTTACCATAATTGTTGACATTGGGGCCCTTTTAATTTTCTTTCTCTCCACCTCTTTCAATTGCCACTTTATTTTCTAGTACAAAATATGTTTGATTCTTTTCTGAAGTTATTCTTGCCATCTGTGGTTACACCTGGTCAGAACAGTGCAACAGAATTCTTTTTTGAAGGGGAAATACCTAGTGATGTTCAGGTATCACAAAGACCATGGCAAATGATGCTTGGTGGTGGAAGGAAACTTGGTGCAGGGGAGGAACCCCAGGCCCTCATCCATGCAAAGCATGTACTCTACCACATGAGCTGTATTCCTGGCTCAAAAGAACTTTTTAAAGCACAATTTCATTACACCCCATGCCCTAAATGTAATGGGAATCACATTTTTATTACAATGAAGATCCTAGGTAAATAGGATTCACTCAATAGGAATTTGCAACATATCCAAATATGCAGAACTCATTTATCTGGCTTGAAAACACTTACAGAGACTCAAACCTTGGTAAGTGTCTTAGGATACATATTTTAGAGACCATAAAGACATGAAACATATGCTTCAAAACAAGGACAAAGAACAGAAGTGGGATGCTAATTAGCCACCTCACTTCCTTCCATTAACCCTCATGTACTGACTTAACTGCTCCAACATAAGCATAATCACTACAAAACTGAAACATGAAATACAGAAAAGCAAACATTTTAAATATCCTCCCTACATATCTGATTATAGGATGTCCTTGTCATAGTACCTTCCATAGTCTTAAAAATCTTAAAAAATCTTTCACATTCTGGGGGCTGGAAAGAGAACAGCAGGTGGGTCTGTTGTCCTACACATGGCTGACCAAAGTTCAGTCCCCAGCACCCATTCTGGTCCTTTGAGCATCACCAAAAATGATCCCTGAGTGTAGAGCCAAGAGTAAGCTCTGAGCAGTGCTGGGTGTGTGCATTTGCTGCCAAAACAAAACCAAAAATATTGTACGGTATTTGTCTTACATGCAGCCAACCTGGGTTAGATCCCCAGCACCCCAGTTGGTCTCCCAAGCCCACCAGGAGTGATCCCTGAGCACATAGCCAGGAGAAAGCCCTGAACACTGCCAGGTGTGGTTCAAAAACAAAACAAAAAATCTTTCTCATTCTAACTCATCTTCAATATGCTCGTTATAGGCCAGACACTGGTAGGAAGATTCAGTAAAGCTGTAATGAAATGTTTGGGAAGACATCTTGTGCTCATTACATGTATGAAACTCATCCACCGGGACATCAGATCTCCTGCACTACCTGCCCAACACATGAGATGTGTGCCTTTACACACCACATTTAATACACAAATTGGAAAAATATTTACCCCATTTAGTCTCCTACTTTATTCCAAAGAAGACAGTTCTTGCAACAGTGCTTCCTTTTCTTGTTGCAATTCTTGCAATAGCTGTTGGTTTTGCTCCAGTCTGTCCTCCAACCACTGCAGAAGAGGCCCACTGACTGCTGACATCTGACTGCACAGGTTCTTGGTAAACACTTCAGTAGGAAAAACATGGGTGAGATAACTTTGCAAGAACACTCTTCTCTGGCATGTTCTGTCTCCAACACATACAGCTCCCAATGATGAGGATAAGAAGTTAGGGGCGGAAGTAGAAAAAGTACAGTTAGCATGACTGGGAAAAAATTTTGTCTTGCCTGTCTGGGGCAAGACAGAAGAGCTAAGTGGGGAAAAGACTCATAGGTATCCATCTTGAACATCCCTGAGTCCAAAAGCCACAGGGCAGCCTGGCTATGCAGGAGCAGAAAGGCAAGAGGATTAAGAGCTACCCAAGGTTTTCCTTTCCCAGCCCTCTGACTTCTCCCCGGTAGAAGAGACCAAAATCTCCTACAGACCTAAGGTGATCCTTGAACACAGAGCCAGGAGTAAGCCCTGCACTCAGTTGAGCATAGCCCCCAAACAAATAAGCAAACAAAACAAATAGAAATAACTGGTAATAGTTGGGATACAGTGAAGAGATCCTCACTCACTGATGCTATGAAGCTTGTATGGTTCACTCCCTATGAAAAACAGTATATAGACTTCTTTTAAAAATTAAAATGGGGGCCAGGGTGATAGTACAGTGGGTAGGGCACTTGCACACAGACAAGCTGAGTTTGATCCTTGACACCCCATATGGTCCCCTGAGCCCACTAGGAGTGACCCTTGAGTACAGAGGCAGACCCTTGAGTACAGACCCTTGAGCACACTGCCGGGTATAACCCAAAAACAAAAACAAAATTGAAAATAGAATTGCGTATAGCCCACTAATTCCACTCCTCGGCATCTACTCCCAAGAATCACTATCACTATCACCCCGTTGTTCATCGATTTGCTCGAGTGGGCCCAGTAACGTCTCCATTCATCCCTGTCACGTGCTAGTGTAGCCCAATGACATATTGGGGGCTCTTTCAGGGTCAGGGGAATGAGGACCATCACTGTTACTGTTTTTGGCATATCGAGTACGCCACGGGGAGCTTGCCAGGCTCTGCCGTGCAGGCGGGATACTCTCGGTAGCTTGCCGGGCTCTCCGAGAGGGATGGAGGCTTTTGGGGCAGCCTTTAATCACCTTTACAGTTGTTTCCAGTCAGGCATATATGTGGGCATGATACTTTCTCTCTCTCAGTAGTTTGCCAGGTTCTCTGAGAGCGAGAATACTAAGTCATTAAATGAGAAAGGGGGGTGGGACTGTAGAGATAATACAGTGGGTAAGGCTCCTGCCTTGCACACGGCTAACCTGGGTTCAATCTCTGGCATCCCATATGGTCCCCCAAACCCCACCAGAAGTGATTCTAGAGTGCAGAGCCAAGAGTAAGCCCTGAGCATCTCCAGATATGCATCCCCAAATCAAACTAAAAAGAAAAAATATGGACATCTACATTCACGGAAGCAATTACAGTAGCCAAGATCTGCAAACAATGCAGATGACCAGCAGCAGTTATGTGGATAAAGAAACTGTGATCTATATACACAATGAAATACTATCCAGTTACGAGGAAAGATGAGCTCTTGCTTTTTGCTACAATTTGGATGGAACTAGAGGGGGTTATGCTAAGCAAATTAAATCAGGACAAAGACACAATCTCCTATATGGTATTTAAAGAAACAAACAATGATAACAAGCATTTGGAATTTGACTGTAAAACTAAGCTTTCTAAGCAGTGAATGGAGGAGTGGAATGGAAGGGGAAAGCAGGGAGAAACAGCAGATTAGAAGTGACCCAAAGATAGTAGTCGAAGGTCTTAGACATTTTGCTGGTGGTGATTGACCAACTCCATACATAAAAACATTAGCTCAACACTATTTAACCATGCTACCTCAAATACATGTTACTACTATTTACCAAGGCCATGCTGGGATCACTCTCCACACACTTGGGTGAGCCTCATGCATAAAAGAACTGTCAGAGGAACCCAGGTGTGTGGGACCCGGGGCTGAGATCTCCAAGCCTGCACGATTTGGGACTGGACCTGTCAGTAGCTAGACAGTTACACCCACCAACTGCCGTGTAACCCCAACAACGGCCAGGATCCAGAGATTATCACACTCAGCTCCTGGGAGAGAACAAGGCAGAGTATCCTACCCTGTGCCTGACTGTCTCCACCAGGGCCCAACAGCTGAAGACCTCCGGGCCCCAGCCAAGGCCATGCTGGGAGCACTCTCCACACACTTGGATGAGCCTCACGCATAAAAGAACTGGCAGAGGAACCCAGGTGTGTGGGACCCGGGGCTGAGATCTCCAAGCCTGCACGGTTTGGGACTGGACCTGCCAGTAGCTAGACAGTTACACCCACCAACTGCCGTGTAACCCCCACAATGGCCAGGATCCAGAGATTATCACACTCAGCTCCCGGAAGCGCGCGACCGCATTCGCAGTCGCGCGACATCTTATCATCTCATTCCTACTTTGGGCAAACTGGCAGGCTACTGAATGTAACCCGCCCACACGGCAGAGTCTGGCAAACTCCCCGTGGTATACCCAATATGCCAAATATCAGTAACAATGATGGATCTCATTCTTCTAACCCTGAAAGAGCCTTGAATATGGCACTTTACAACAGGATGGTCGTGATCGTGACCAGAGAAATAAATGAATTAAAATAAAAATAAGTTGAATTAGGGAGATAAATCGAAGGACTAGAGCACAGGTTTGGCATGCTGGATATCCCTGGTTGGATCCCTGGCATTAGGGTCTCCCAGTACTGCCACAGGTGATAGCCAAACCAAAAAAGGAAAAAAAGAAAAGGAAATGAACCATATGGGTGAGAGAGAGAGAGAGAAAGAGAGAGAGAGATCTAAGAGCTGCAGTGTTTATCTTGAATATGTGAGACTTTGAATTCGATCCCTAGCTCTGCATGGCCCACCCATGGAATGGGAGGCCCTTCAGATTAAAACAAAATTAATATTCTTGGGATATAATTTACAGATTCTGGAAGAATCCCATTTTAAAACATGGTTCATTGATTTTTGACTAAGGCAGGATCTAGATCATTTCCCTCCTTCAAGACCTATTTATACTTCCTTCTCTAGTCAGTGCTCTTCCAGCCCTGGCCCAAGGAGTACTGACTCAGTTGTTCTGTGACAAATTTTGAATTTGATTCTTGAATTTCACTGGAATGAAACTATAGAGTGGTAGCCTTTTGGACAGTGTCTCTTTCACTTGCATAATACTCTTGAAAAGTGATCCACATTGCTTTTTTTTTCTTTAATCAGTAGTTTACTCTGTTGCTGAGCAATACTCCATTTGTGAATGTGTTCACTGCCCATTCACCCACTGATAGACAATGGGTGTTTTTAAAGGGAGGGCAGAGGTGCTTGGGTCACATCAGCGATCCTCAGGGGCCATTCCCAGAAGGCCTGTGTCAGTCCCAGCAGTGCTCTGGGGACCATGTGTGCTGGGGAACAAACCTGAACACCCTGAATGTAAAGCTTGCATTTAAGCCTTTGAGTTCTCTCCAGACCATTTTCACATTGGGGCAAACATGAATAGTGTGATGAATATTCCTATGTAAGTTTTTGTTTGGACATCTTACATTCAATCTAGAAATATGCCTAGGACAGGAACTGGGAGATCATTGGGTATTTGTAATTGCCAACTTCTTTTCCAATGCAGGATTACGTATTTTAGTACATACGTAATTACGTATTTTACGTATTATGTACTTAAATGGGACTCCGCACCAGTCTGTTTCCACTCGGGGTGCCCCAGATGGGGGTGGGGCAGAGCCCTCCTCGTCCCAAGGGACCCAGCCCTGGCAGCCGACTTCTACTATGCGGCCATGCTCCAGGCCACTTTCTGGACCGAGTGGCCGCGACATATCATGTGACTCTTCAGACAGTTGGCAACCGATCATAGAGAAAAAAAAAAATATATATATATATATATTCCTCTCGAAGTGCCCGGCAAGCTACTGAGAGTATCCCACCTGCGCATGGGCGGAACCTGGCAAGCTACCCGTGTCGTATTTGATATGCAAAACAGTAACTGTAACAGGTCTCATTCTCCTGACCCTGAAAGAGCCTCTAATCGTTGGGAAAGACGAGTAAGGAAAGGCTGCTAAAATCTCATGGCTGGGATGAATAGAGGAGTTACTGGGCACTGCTCGAGTAAATTGACAAACAATGGGATGACAGTGATAGTGATGTATTTAAAAAAATTATGTAAATACATTACGTATTTTAGTAAAAGCTTAAATACTGATTCTTTTTGTGGAGGAATTTAGGTCAGAATCTGCCTTTCCCCAAAATAGAAATAGCAGAATATAAAGTCAGGAAGGTTTAGACTCTACCCCAGAGCCTAGAATAATAAGTGAGAGCAGGCAGTCTGGTGTCTCTTGAATGAATAAGCTAACAAACATTCTCAATATGATTTAATAATTTTTTATTGATTTGACATAACACCTTTCTTAAATACAAATTGTGTGTCTGTGTGTAGGCCTATTTCTGGGTTCTACTCTGTTGTACTGAGTTATTTGCTCCTTCTTTGGAGGTGCTAGTGATCAAACCCAGGGTGTCATTTATGCAAAGCATGTGCTCTACCACTGAGCTATATATTTGGCCCATAGTCCTTAATTTTTGAGTCATTAGCAAACATTTTATCCAATTGTGACTTTAGAGTCTGACTACATGTCATACACTACCAGTTCTAACTCATCACATTTTTCATCCAGATAGAAATATGGGACAGATCAACCAGCCACCTGCCCTTTTCCCAAAAGCAAGTGCCCCCAATACTTGCAAGCTTCCCCTTCTTCTCTGGTGAAGACTGAATTCTTTGCCAGTTACTGGGGAAGATGGCACAGAATGGTCAGTAAGTGAGGACTAGTCAGAGAGAAGACAGAGTGGGTCAGTGTGTGTCAGGGAAACATGACTAGGTGTGTATATTGTACTGTACACACATGTCCTTGGACTTGTGCAGAAATTTCTTCCATATCTAGTGATACAAGAGTTCCTCCTGCATGCACCCCCTTTTATCTGTATGTTTGTCTATCTGTCTGTGTATCCATCTCTTTCAACCTCCACAAGAGACTGGTAGTGGTGTGCTGCTACCACCTCAGATCGTTGTCAAGAATTGAAATTTTGGAGTTTGCGCAATGTTTGTTGCCATGTTACTTGTCATAAATAAATCATGACAAGTGTATTATTACACCACGAAAGCTAGCAAAAAAAAAACCAAATCAGGAGCCTCCCTCCTTTTTGAGAACTGGCTATTAATGAAGCACATAGCAGGGCACAACTAAGGAGCTCTAGGATAAGACTCATTCCTCTCTTTTCACCAATCTAACTTAGGGGGCACTTACAGCATCCAAGCATCCACAGCGACCAATACAGGAGACTGGAACAGGATCATGAAAGGCACACAGTTGGGAAAGGAAACTCAGGGATAATTTGTACCCATCACTTCAGCTGTGTAAACTGTGCTGACAGCTGAGTACATCAGGGATGACTACATTGCTGTCTATACTCAAGGAAAGAGTCTTACCTGAACCATTATGGATCTTGGTTACTGAGTCCAGATGTGTAAGGCTAAAGGGAGAAGAGAGCTCTTTTTAATAGCAAAACAGCAATGAAGGAAAGAACAAAATGATCATGGACTGTTACAAAATGAAAAATTAGACCAGACCTTTACCAATTGGATTAAATGACTATATGCAATTAAAGATCCTATAGCTGCTAAAGTTTCCTAACTGGGGAAAGTGACTTTGATGAGAACTTCACAAGATAGTTGAAACAAATCAAATTGAAGCCGCTGTCTCTCACTGATGCCTTACTTAATACACAGCTATCAGGCAAGACCGCACTTGGCAACAGGACTACTATGATGTTCAATTTGTTTTCATAACCAAAAGTATCTCGTGCTTGAAGAATCCACAGTGCATCAGGAGAGAAAGCAGACACTGAACCGTTGTTATGGAAAGTGGCTATAAAGCATTCTCACAGAGACGTGATATGCACATGGGTTTACCAGTTGCTCTGCCAGACAGAAAAGGGAGATGAGAGGAATGGTGTACACTACCTGTGGATCCTCCTATATGCATCCTGCTCCTCCTGGCACAGGATTTTGGGCAGCTCTACTGCTGATTCAAGGCACACTTTCCCAATGGTCACATGAGGTACAATATGGATAGGGATTTCAATTCTCTCATACCTGCAAGACAGCAATTTAGTCAGCTTCCTGTGAGCTTATTCTTTTTCTCCAGCTTTACTGAGACATGATTGAAAAATTATTATAATATTTTAAGGTATACTCAATGATATGTGTGCCCCACACAGTGACATGATCACCACATTCAAACTAACTCATGTCTTCATCACCTCAACAGTCACTATTTCTGTTGTGAATGAGAACAGATTTCAAGTACAACCTTAAGCTAACTGCAGTCATCGGGCTGTACATTAGATTTCCAGAATTCATTTATCTCAACTTGGGACACTTTGGACATAACCAAAACATCCTCACTTTTCCCCTTCTCACTTCTGCCCCACCAACAGCAACCATTCTATGAGCTTCTTTTTTTTAACGAATCACTGTGAGGTACAGTTACAGACTTACAAACTTTTGTGCTTACATTTCAGTCATACAGTGATCGAGTACCCATCCCTCCACCAGTGCCCATTCTCCACCGCCAATGATCCCAGTATTCCTCCCACCAACCTCACCCCATCCCTCCACCCCACCCGCCTCTGTGGGGGCATTCCCTTTTGTTCTCTCTCTCTCTCTCTCTCTCTCTCTCTCTCTCTCTCTCTCTCTCTCTCTCTCTCTCAGGTGTTGTGGTTTGCAATAGAGGTATTGAGTGGCCATCATGTTCAGTCTATAGTCTACTTTAAGCACACAACTCCCATCCCGAGCGGGCCCTCCATCCACCCTTTACTTGGTGGTCCTTTCTCTATCTGAGCTGCCTTTTGCCCCAGTGTGTGAGGTCGACTTACAAGCTATAGAACAATCCTCCTGGTACTCATCTCTACTATTCTTGGGTGTTTAAGTCTCCCATTCTGTTACTTTATATTCCACAAATGAGTGCTATCTTTCTGTCTGTCCCTCTGCTGTTTCTGACTCATTTAACTTAACACGATACTTTCCATGTTGATCCACTTATATGCAAATTTCATGACTTCATCTTTTCTAGCAGCTGCATAGTATTCCATTGTGTAGATGTACCAATGTTTCTTTAACCAGTCATCTGTTCTCGGGCACTCGGGTTTTTCCAGATTCTGGCTATTATATAACAGTGCCATTCTGTGAGTTGTTAAGAGTTTACATAATCTAGAATATTCATGACATAAGTGGCCTCATACGGCATTTGTGCTTCTCTGGTTTATTTCACTTACCATAATGTCGTTCTGGTTCACTTATGTTGCTACAGACAGTATGAAATTAGACATATATTCACATACCACAATTTCTTTATCCATTTGTGCAATGACAGATATTTAGCTTGCTTTTGCATCTTGCCTATTGTGAATAATGTTGCAATGAATACAGGAGAGTAGATAATACTTTGAGATTTTGATGTCAGTTCCTCTGGCTATGTGTCCCAGTATGGGTCCATTTTGGTTAATTTTTTGGAGCCACAGCCAGTGCTGCCGAGGTGTTACTACTGGCTCTGTGCTCCTGGCTCACCAATGCTCAGGGATCACTCCTGACAGGGCTCTGGGACCATATTGGGTACCAGGGATCAAACCCAGGTCGAACACAAGCTAGGCAAGTACCCAACCAACCCATTGTGCTATCTATCTTTCCTGTCCTTAAGGGCCTGTTTTTAACAGTCAGTTATTGTAAAGAAAATTTTCTATAGTTTTAACAAGGAGTTCGGGATATGGAATGTGTCAGATATTAAATGGTTCTATAATGTAGTGGGTCTGCTTCGGAGTGGATATAGAGTTCAAACTGAGCTGGGAAGCAAACTGAAAGCTCACTCTCTAGACTCCCCAAGTATCAGATGCTCTTCCTACAAACTTGTCAGAAGCCTTGGGACCTCAAGGTTTTCACGCCTGCTCCACAGCAACAATGGACAGAGCTAATTAATACTGGTTTCAGTCAGGAAGTTGCCAGAAAATTTAAATACATTGATCACAAAGCCCGGGGAAGAATGAGACACTGCAAAATGCCTCCAGGAGCTTCATTATGTAGCTGTCATTACTCATACAAATGCTTCCTTATTTAAATTAGGGTTACAAATGGCGCCCACTTTCCCTTTCTCTCCTTTTGAGGGAAATGTAAAGAAGAATCTTGAACCCTTACATTTTAAGGCTGGAGTGGAAGAAATAGAGAAGCTTGTCACTGAGGTTCACTGGTATATCTCTCTACTTTTTGTTCACTCTAAATATAGCCAAGTTTCATGTCAGCATGCATTCGATAGAACATTCAGGCTGAGGCTCCCTGCACCAGGAGGCATCATGGGTATGGTGGTGAAGGTGTGTGAGACCTAGCTCCTCTCTCTCACCTAGAGTGGTGCATCTGGGCCCCTGGAAGACAGGGGTGGCCAGTGATGATCACCTCTCTGTTCCTGACCTCCCAGTGAATAGGGAAGAATTCACGAAAGAGTATGCCATAGGTTCTGTGGTTTGTGGAAGGCCTCTGAAGTCATAAATAGTGAGCATAATCACTGGTAAGTCTAGAAACCTGTAAGAAGCCAATCTACTGAGCAGAGTCTCCCACTGACTTTGCCGGACCATGAACAAAAGTGGTCTCAGTGAGGCATGGAACTTGGACACACATCTTTATCCAGTCATAGAGGAAATAGAGCTTCTGTTAGATGACTTAGGCCAAGCACAGATAAGTAGTGATCCAACACACAGGACAGATTTTCTGCTTCTGATAGTGAATTAGATCAGCATTTCTCAACTGGGACCTGCCGAGCTCCCTGTGGGCATCCAGAATATTCCAAGGGGGTGGAGGTCATAGGTGAAAATCATGTCAACAGACACACAGGAAAAGACCAGGGGGGCATCAGGTAGAAGAGGAGGCCACAGAGAGGAAACAAGGTCAGCAGGGATCCATAGCTGATAAGAGGTTATGAAACAGAGACAGTTGGTTAGGACCAAGCCTACTATCGAGAGCAACTAGAGCAGCGAGGGGGGGGGTGGAGGGGGGAGATCAAACAGCATCTTTGGGGCCAGGGTGATAGTACAGCTGGCAGAGTGCTTGCCTAGCATGTGGCTGACCTAGGTTCCATTCCCAGCACCCCATATGGTCTCCCAAATCCAACAGGAGTGATCCCTGAGCACAGAGCCAGGAGATAGCGCTGAGCACTGCTGGGTACGGCCCCAAAACCAAAAACAAAATAAAACAGCATCTGTTGGAAGTCACTGAAAGCCTAGCAAGACCATAAATAATTGTGGGGTCAAGATCTGGGCAAGCAGCAAACTCCAGAGAGATGAGCATGGCATCTAAGGATAGTCTTCCTGGAACGTCATCAACTCATTTAAGAGGAAGATTTTTATTGGCTGGGACACTGAAGAGAGTTTCAAAAGATTTTGAGTCTTGAATAAATAGGGTTTTGAACCATGGAGGGACAGAGGCCCTGGTAACCTGTCTCTAAGCATTAGGCTCGGACCTCAACATGCCAGGAGTAAAACGAGACCAGCCCAGGACACAGGATGTGGCTCAGCAGTAAAGGGTGAGCACAAGACCTGGACTCGGTTACTAGCATCAGGAAAAGCAAAAGGACCAGCCTTGACAACGTTTGAGGCACACCCTTAAGTCATCACAGTTCCAAACTGGGTCAACACGATCTGTTAATTCTGCTACCAGACTGGATACAGACGTTCACCAATGATCACTACATCAAGCACAAGAAAGGGACAGATCAAATTTAAAGTACTAATTTAAAATAATGAACTCAGCTATCCCACTTCTAGATATCTACCCCTAAACGGACAAAGAAAATTGCAAAAACAAATAAATGCACATCTATGTTCATTGCAGCTCTTAGTACAATAGCCAGGATATGGAAGTAACCCAAATGTCTAATAGCAGGCGAACATATAAGTTGTGGTACATATGCACATAATGGAATCCTATGCAGCTGCTAGAAAAAATAAAGTCATGTAGTTCACAGCAACTTGGATGGATCTAATGTTCCTGCTGAGTGAAATAAGTCAGAGACAGAAGGATAAATAGCAGATGGTGTTACTCATCTGCATAGGACTTGCTGCAAGCCCAAAGGTGGAGGAAAGCTGGGTGCTGAGTTGAAATCAAAGAGGAGAAAAGGAGAAGAGGTGTGGGGAGGGGGAGGCTACCATAACTTCAGATTGCTTAGAGATTAAGTTTTTGCTATATAGTAGGCACTAAAACACCAAGTCAGATATCATCCTTTGCTCAAATCCCAGAAAATTCAAGTAAAACTTCATCCCTTTGATCCAGCAAACTTCTGACTGGATACAAGCAAGGGACCTCTAATCCTTGTTGCCTGATTACGGAAAGAATACTATTTATGTGATCTCTGCTTCTTTCTGTCACATTCTGCCCTGAGCATTTTTCTAAAGAGAACTGGGGCTGAGATGTGGTTTGGTGGGAGAGCATTTGAACTTCATGTGTTAGCTCCTAGGTTTCATTTCCAGCACCACAAAAAGTAAAGAGAGAAAATATAGCACATATTTGAGAGAAAGACGAATTAGAGGGGAGGATGGGCAAAATGGATTAAAAAATGCAAACAGTCTGCAGAGAAATCCAGCCCTCAAATGAACCAAATGGAATGAACATCAACAAAACGATGGGCACTGATGCTTCTGGCTCATACTGTCCCAGGTACCAAATGAACACTAGACGAAAACTTGTGAGAATTCTAGAGAGCAACTGTGAAGTTACAACAATTACATCAATGCCAAGCTAAGAGGAGATTTCAGCAAAAATAGAAGGAAATTCCACAGCACTGTACTCATGTTGAAATGCACCCCCTCTGACGTGCAGCACCACTGGGGGCAAATCTTCTGCCTGCAGATGCCTTCCAGGAATGAATGAGCACACACTGCCTACAAAATTCTCGCTGATCTATGCGACTGGTACCTGGATGATGATTTTGTTTGGAAGCCACTGAAAACAAACCATCAGGACTACTAGATCTGCAATTCCTTATGCATATCCTGGGCAGAACAGGAGAGTTCCAGACGTTGTGAAGAATCAGGCACCTGCTAGGTAGCTAGGCA